GAAGAGCATTATTTTATAGAAAATATCATGCAAAAAAAAGTTTAAAAAGTTTATGAGTACAGAGTAACGTAACAATGACTGTTGAAAATTACGCCAAATCCTGAAGATAGTCGCTAATAAGTTCGAAACGGTATATCACAGACACATATGACCAGTATACTGTTGAATTTGTCTTTCAAAGAGCTATTTAAAAATGTATTAAAATATAGGGTGTTCCATTTAAAAAAATGAATTTCCATTTGTTCACCCTGTATATAGTAGAGTGACACCAAAAAAAATACAAAAAAGTTGTAGATAATTTTATTAGAAACAACTTTTGTATTTAAATTTTTTTTACAGCCCTTGTAGATTTCGAGATAAGGTATAGGCACCTCTTAGACGGGCCACCCTGTACATATCTGAAAATTTGAGACAGGCGAGTGGAAGAGGCTTAAATACAAAAAAAAAAAAACGGTGCCACGCCCAAAAAAGGTCTTTTGGGCATATTTTGTCGACTTTATAGCTCGTTTCAGTACTTTATATTTATGACTACCATTTTTGGGAAAAAAAAAAAATAATTGGATGATAATAGGAAACACATACCTCCCAAACAAAAATAAAGATTCTTATCTATTAGACTACCACCGATTAGACATTAAGGCCCGGCTTATTCATCTTCAGATAAACTTGCTGGTAGCTATCTGCAAATTAAATTTACCGTTCTATAATTCTATTGGCTGACCAATGAGATTACAGATTGCGTTTTTATCCATCAGATTGCATACCTGACAGTTCAACAGAAGGTGAATAAACCGGTCCTTAAACACAAAAAGAGTTACAAGAAAATGCATTTGCAGAAAAAGAAATTTAGAGATGTGGCGTTAGTTATCGACAGACAATGTTTCGTACAATTTTTAGGAAAAACTTAATTATGATTCGAATCGCTGTACGTTTGCTGTACAAAATCAAATGCTGGACAAACTTTCAAAATGCTGTACAATACAGCGAAATACTGTATGTATGGTCACCCTAACCTACGGCAATGACAGGGATTGTCATTGCATTGAGAAAAGACTGATGGCCGTTTGCATCCTTGGTTTGCACCGACCATTTTAAGGAAGCATATTAGCGATAAGTATTCCTTAAAATGACATTTCTACATGGATAAATGTCACTCTAAGGAATACTTATCGCTGCTTCCTCAAAATGATCGGTGCAAACGGCCATGATTTACCCAAAATAGCGAAAAATGACAAGACCTGTCAGTAGGTGTCCCCTTTTTATGCTCACGACCGTAAAGTCCACAGAACATATCACCTATAGAAAAATATCTCAAATGAGAGAATCGCGACGAAGATTTTCAGATTACAGATTTTTTCTATAATTCGCTCGTTATGCAAATAAAAACCATATGCAAGTCAGCCATATTTGCAGAATTGCAAATTTGCAGATGCAAATATACTGTAATTGGGCCCTTAGTTTTTATAAACGGCAACATACCGCTCAAATTCGAGTGGTATCGATCACTTCACTTTGTAACCGGGTTAGAAAAAGGTATGTCATGCTTGACGTACCGCTACTAACCGTTTTGTAACCCGGTTAGTTTAAATCGGAGCCACGTGAAAAGGACTATTGTATATAACAGCAAGAGCGCGCTTGGTCGACACCCGACGTTCAATCCGTTCAATCTGATCGCGTTCCAGAGCTGTTCTGTGGATGCGTTCACGGTCAATCTCAATGTGAATGTGTATGGCGTCATGCTTCGTAAATGTGTAGTTTGAGTATGGATATTTATAACCGAATTTTCGCGACGAACTACACTACTTCCATGATTTCATGAACTTAAACGCTTTCGCGAGAAGCTCATGACGTCATATTAAACGTAGTTCGCCGAAAGCATGAACGAAACTTCAAGCCAGCGTTCAAACTCATGACGTCACAAATGAACTAAAGTGCGTTTTTTTTTTAAAGATAATTCCCCAAGTCAAAAATTTAGTAACTATGTTGGCAACACAAGCCTTTTCTAAGACGGTTACACACGGACGTGGATGTCTGAAAACATGTACGCACATACATGAACGCTCAAACAAAAACATCAATGTGTATGCAAAATACCGTCGCGTTTTTGAATGTGGAATTTTGTCACTGTTGCCAATCTGAATTTGTGAAATTACACGATATGCTGGTCAAATTAGACGCTTTTACACGCTTTCACTTCTCACAATTAAGCCTAGTACTCATAACTGCGAAATTCGCACTTTTTTGACATTGCTTTGACAATTTGACGTTTGATACACGCATAAAACATCAAAATGTCGACACAATGTCAAATAAATGCGAATTTCGCAGTTATGAGTACTAGGCTTTACACGATTTTTACACACGATCTTGGTACCTATTCTGTAACACCAAGAAACAAGTATAATTTTTTTTTTGTGTATTATGATATTGGGAAATGGGTTAAATCCAGTCAAATCTGAGGGTTAATGCTCCTGATCATCGTTCCTCAACCAAAAATAAAGATGTGGCAACTACAGAAAAGCGTTCCGAAAGTAATCAAATCACTAATTACTCTGGTTCCTGGGAAGAAGGTTACTTTTGGACCTTACAGTGGCTAAATAAACCTTTACATACAGTGGCGACAATAGAGGTCCCGCCGCCATCTTGTTCCCAACCTCTTGTTACTTTTAAATATTAATATATAGGATTTAAATGGACATCTATCATGAAAAATTGAAATCGACGTATTTGATGACCATTATTAGGTCCATAAAATACGTTGTTTTCCATGATTTATGATGGATGTTCACCTAAATCCCATATATTCATATTTAAAAGTAACAAGGGGTTGGAACAAGATGGCGGTGTTTTCAATATAAATATATGGGATTTTAGAACCAATCAAAAATGAGACAGCAATTGTCGCCACTGTGGCTTATAGAGTCACTGTAGTAATAGGTTGATTGAAGCGCCTCTAGTGATTGGAGGGGAAAGCTGAAACGACTAGACTGACGTCTCTCATAAGACTTATATTTCTAAGGGGGGATGTTTTATGGTGGTTTGTTGACAATACTTTTATACGTGTGGAGACTGGAAACTATTATTTTCTCGGTTTTTTCAAGGTTTTTCCCTAACAATGGTTATTGTGTGTAGTGTGCCTTTTCGTGAAAATAATTCCTATTCACCGGCGGACGTGTCTTTCCCAAGAATCGTAAACTCTACAGGATTGCTCAATCGGCTAAATTTGTTCACAATTGCTGTGACGTCACGCGCATGCCGGATTTTCAAGATGGCCGCTGATACGAATGATGTTTAGTTTGTGCTGACAACTATTTTATCGTAAATTCGGATTTATCTAGTGTTATAAGTGTAAATTTAAAGTTTCATTTAATGTGTGTAAGCATAAAAGACTCGTGGCTGAAAATACTCGCGAAAACCCCAAGCATTTTCTGGTTTTATAATACTGGATTTGTTGTATCAGGACATCGCTCTTTTATTTGTGTGTATTGCTAGTTAGTATTTCCTACAGTGGCTAAATAAACCTTTACATACAGTGGCGACAATAGAGGTCCCGCCGCCATCTTGTTCCCAACCTCATGTTACTTTTAAATATTAATATATAGGATTTAAATGGACATCTATCATGAAAAATTGAAATCGACGTATTTGATGACCATTATTAGGTCCATAAAATACGTTGTTTTCCATGATTTATGATGGATGTTCACCTAAATCCCATATATTTATATTTAAAAGTAACAAGGGGTTGGGAACAAGATGGCGGTGTTTTCAATATAAATATATGGGATTTTAGAACCAATCAAAAATGAGACAGCAATTGTCGCCACTGTGGCTTATAGAGTCACTGTATTGGACCTGAGTTTCCTGCAAGCATACTACACACTACTACTACTACTACAGGATAGCCTATCCTCATAAGGCCTGTGTAGTTCAAATCTCAAACCCCCTTCCCTTCCAAAGTACCAGTGATAACGTAGGCAGCGTGTCATTTCTCGTCTTCATTAATTAACATTATAAAACAACTCTTCCTCATATCTAGTTTGCGTCTTCCGCTTCGCCTATAATCAAACTTAATTAACATTTTTCATCATAAATTTAAAACGACCGCTGACGCAAGCAGCTGACCAGCTGACGACTTAGTTAATGACGTCGGCAATGGTGCTAAACCATATGACCGCGATTACTAAAAACGAGGCCTATAAGCAATCCCTAGTGTGTATTATTCTTGGCCATAAGGGTAGTCATTTGACAGATCATTTGTTTAGATTGGGAAGCCGTGAAACAGACAAAAATTGAGAAAATGTAAAATTTTTCAAATTACACGCAAAATACACACTCTTTGTTTATGTTCGAAAAATACACGCAAGCCAATCAAAATACACGCAAATCGTGTAATTACACGCTAATTGGCAACACTGAATTTTGTATGCACACTCGGAATACTGTGGCAAGAATAGCAAGACTGCAGTTTTGTGCGAGCGTCTGTACAAAGGCGCCATGCACGTTGTTGTTTGCACGTTGATGTATGCACGTATATGTATTAAGCCATCCACGTCCGTGTGTAACCGCCTCTACATAGAAAATTTGAAAGCATTGACAATTTTACATTGTATTGCCAACATAATGTCATTTTGACTTTTATCTTTAAAAAAAAAACGCACTTTATTGATGAACCATATTGGTCGCGAAAATTCGGTTTATGTTTAATATAGTTTAAACGAGAAACTTGCGGTTTCGCGGACACTTTCTCAATCCGAGTGAAGCCAACTAGACATTTTTTTTTTACCAATTGTTGAGAAATGGTCCTTTGGGATCCCCTGAACTCCATACACTAAATTATTCCGAGATTTGGAGCCGGATTCTATGAAAAAATGCCATCAGAAAATGACTGGTTTCGATTATCGATATTTTCAAAATATCGATATGTTGTATTTAGCCCTCTTCTAGTGTCATCCATACGTGCTCATGCGTCATTGCTCATACTTTTGCTGACAGCAGAAGACAAAGGTTAAGTTGTACAAGTATAATGAAAATAATTTAAAAACTTAAATTATTTTCCACTCTACAATTAATAGAATTAACAATGTTAATTAGCCGACATCTGTGAGAAAATCTAGCGCAAAAATGTCTGTATTTTCAAAACTAAAAGGTTTCCTGTCGAGACACAGAAACAAATTTTTAATAGGAGGCGTTTTGATAACAGGTAAATCATTATTTAATTATTTTATTAATTACTAATCATTTACTTTATCTTAGGAACCGTTTTTTTGGCAAGGTATACCCGCAAAAGCCTGCGAGACTGGCAAGAAAAAGAAACGCGAGAATTTTTCGATAGAACCCGTAAACAGAACCACTTCGAGAGCATAAACCGTACCTGTAACGAAACCGTTATAAATTTGTCATCGTCGTTGCTGGACAAAATTTACGAGACCATCAACACTGACCAAACTATTGAGAAACTGAAACAAAACCCAGAAAACAAACTGGAAATTTGGGTTGAATTAAAAAACCAAGTCTTTATTAAAGCAGCTTGCGTGGTTTACTCTCTAGTAATGCTTGTAATCACTTTAAAGTTGCAATTAAATATTATAGGAGGATACCTGTATAAAGACCCTACAAGTGTCCCCGCAGAAATGCAACAAAAATACTTATCTATTTGTCAAAATTTTTTGAATGCTGGAATAGAAAAATTAGCCAAAATAATTGAAGCAGAAGTTGATAAGCTTTTAAAAAATATTGATTTAAAAAAGCAAATGAAATTAAGTGATTTAGAGGCGATTTTTTGGTCATTGCAAAGCAGTTTGGATGCCAGACAAGATAACCCAATAAGCCAATTAAGAAAGTACATTTTCGAAACAGATCCTCCTAGTTCTCCTGACATTTACACTAGCATGCTAAGAGACACTGCAGATCTTCTAGAAAGCGAAGAAGTCAAATTTTTAGTAATTCATCAAATAAATACAGGGTTTGTGCTATTGGGAGATCAGTTGTCTGAGTTTTTCAACCAAAACGAACCTCCTAGTGGGGAGCAATTTCAAAATCCCTTTACCAATAAGAAGCCTCTGGCCAAATTGGTACCGATTTTGAATGGTTTATTGTCCAAACAATCTTTGCCTCATAACTTGACAAACCATTTAATTACTAATGAAAAGTTGCAAACGTTGTGCGCTAATGTTTATGAGAGTTTGTTGGGGTAGAAATTTTATATTTTTTTGGTTTTTGTTGGCTGTTGTTTTTTAAATTATAATTAAGGATTAATTTTTAATATATCATTGTGCTCTAAGTTATGTTGATTTTATTTTACTTTATTGTGAAACTAACAAATTTTTTCTAAATTTTTCTTGTTGCAAATGATTCAATGTGCAGTCTACTAAAAAATTTACAAGATCTGAAGCTAATTTTCTTTCTATTCCAGGCTCTTGAATTTGAAAAATTCAATTTCAATGAAGCAGTTTAACATCTGCAATGTTTTAAAGTCAAAAATCAAAGAGCCAGTAGCTGAAGGATTTTTTTTCCCTAAATGTTAATCTTTTTGTTATCTTCAATCCGATCTTATCGTAATTAGACTTAAAATAAAGCCAATTAAAGCCTCTACAAATTTTCAATAAAAAGTTTCAAAGCAGTTTCAATAGTTCTGCAGCTGCAAAGCTTGAAAGTATGAAGACTTGATTTTGATCAATTTGAGCAAACGGAAGGATATTTTTATATATTTTTCTCAAATTTCAATCCTCTCTTTATCCACTTGCAAAATTTCAATCTAATCCCTCAAAGATTTTCCTTAAAAAAAAAAAAAAAACTATTGAATTCATACTAACATAAGAATGAAATTAACTGACTTTTCAACTTTCATCGGTGTAATGTCTGGACTGGAGATCATGGAGGCCCGTTAATGGGGTACGTACCACTAGTGGCAAATAATATTCCTGAGTTTGATATGTCATTGGATTTAGAATAAAAAGTAGAGTTTATTAGGAATAAAATAAAAAATTTCGACCATCTGAAAAAACAAAGTTGATGATGATCGCAAAGAAACGAAACGTCTGATCAAAAATCTAATAACATTATCATGTAGCGGATAAAAAGTGGCAATTAGAATGTGAAGTTTATTTTGCGATATCATTTCAAATAAAGTCAGAAAAAAATAAAAACGATATTGGCAAAATTCGGTTTCTAATGGAGTTCTTTGAAATCATTCGGAATATCCGAAATAATCAGAACATATGACGCCACTGAGCTCAGTTGTGCGCAACTTTTCCCAAATTTAACCAACCCCTGTATCTCTATGGTTACGGAGATCTCTGTAGAGTGCCAGGACGCCCTGTATATCGATATAAGTTGTATTGAGTTTAGAACACTACATAGAGCTACTCGCTCCGGTGTTAGTTGACCGCGATTTGAGAAGAACAGAGGCACCTGCTTTCCTATTTAATAGGGAGTTCGGCTTCACATTCTGTAAACTCTGAGCGCGCTCGAAACGATAAGATCCTGTTCATTTTAGCTCTTAGCAGAGTGTTCTCCTTTGCGTTGGGCTTATGACTGCGTATCACGTCACGATATCCATGCTCATATCGTGCCGCTCCGTGGAGTGCAAAGCCGAACTCAGCCTTAGGGCGGGTTTTATAAAACTACTTTGACAGTTAACTTAAAGTTAACTTTTCGAATTACAAGTAATTCCAGAAGTTAACTCTCAAAGTAGTTTTATAATACTCGCACCTTAAGGGCGGGTATTATAAAACTACTTTGAGAGTTAACTTACACGTAAATGCTTCATTCACAGTTGCGCGAAATTCGCTCTTTTTTTGATAATTATTGCTTCGACAATTTGACGTTTCATGCATGTATCAAACCTCAAATTGTCGAAGCCATGTCAAAAAAGAGCGAATTTCGCGCAAGAGAATTAAGCTTAACGCCTCGGTGCTGGGGGGGCTTTATTTGAAATTGATGCAGCTTTGACACGCATATATAACGTAGATGACGTCAGTTGCAATGGCATGTAATATTGACAGTTGAGTTGAAGAGGGCGCTTCTGTACTTGGAGCTATTTAAATTTTGGCGCGTAAATAATTGATTGTAATTTTAACCCCAAAAGTTAAATCTGATGTGTGGTTTCATTGGTTTAAAGACAATCTGGCGCTGACACTTTTAAAAATATTTTCTAGGGCCACTGAATGCTTTGGAAGATATTTTAACTTATTCATTATTCATTGTTCATATTGTAGACATCTTTCTTTCCACTCAATTTAAACGGATTAAAACTATTGACATTTACCGCCAAAATTTGAAGCACTCCAAGTTCACTCGCGCCCTCTACAATATTTTGGAGAACTTAACTGGATATTTGCTGCTAATAGAAAAAAATCCGCAAAATAAAAATCCGCAATTCGCGATTATGAATACTAGGCTTCAAGCTATGCACCAATTTTCAATCACGAATGACGTCATTTACGTGTACGCAAAGTTGCATCAATTTCAAATAAAGCCCCCCTGTTCCGGAGCTCCTGCTAGGTGTTAAAGGAATAGAATATATCATATCGACAGACGACAAGCCCTCCTCTACTTCAGAGCCGCTTTCTGCCTTATTCTCACTTGCGCAAAAAAGCTCGCTCTAAAGGTAGGTCTGTTCGTTATCCTCCACTAGTGCACAATAATTTACACTTTTCTGCACTGAGGCGTTTGTTATACGGTTAGTGCGAATAGTGTTAGGTGTTTGTTATTTCAGTGTAGGGTGTCCAATCTTGCACTACCTACACCTGCTCAAGAGGTGGTGTAACAAGTGCAGAATGGGGAGGGGGCAATAGTATTTAAAAGCTACTTCAATGAAGCGGTCTTCAGGGTTGGAAGATAGGGAATTTCCATCTTCCTCTATAATTTCCGACAATAAAACCTTGTAAATTTTGTTCTTTTCATTAATATTACACATTTTTTTCTTGGTTAATTTCCACTTCAATCTACTTGAATATTAATTTTTTGAGGTAGAGAATTATCCGCTCCTATCGCTGTACCAACTGCACTAACGCGTTTGGTAGTTTTACTTTAACCTGGTGCCCATCAGCTATACGTAACTGCACCAGCAGTCTGCACTAACCTATCCTACACATAAATAACAAACAGTCCAAACAGACCTAATGAGTTTGGCTTGGCAAAACGGAGTTGGAGCGGATAAAGAGCAATTTCATTAATTGTATTCCTTTCAAGAGCTTGAAACACTCGAGCTACTCGCTCCGGTGTTCAGTTGCCCCCGTTTTACAGGGAACAGATGCATGGTGCAACAAACACTTTTCGAAAGGAATAAGCGCGTGAAGCCCCGGAGCTGTTCTGGAGCTCCTCCTAGGTGTGAAAGGAATACAACTATAGTCACGTGATCACAGAGTGAAAAGAGTAAAATGGTAAAGTTAAAGCCTAGTACTCATAACGGCGAAATTCGCATTTTATTGACATTGCTTCGACAATTTGACGTTTGATACACGCATAAAACGTCAAATTGTCAACGCAATGTCAAAAAAATGCGAATTTCGCAGTTATGAGTACTAGGCTTAAGGGTGGGTATTATAAAACTATTTTGAAAGCGATGTTAAACAATAAGCAATTGTTTCCAAATAAAAGAATCTAATTTAAAGTAATATAAGAACAAAAATATTTACTACTTTTTTCCCAGGAGGCAACCACGCCCTAAGCAAAAAATATCTTCTTTGCATTCTTTGGGTTACGATCGTTAGGATAGTGAATTATCGAAAGCTAAATTTTACTGTCTTTTGGAAATATAGGAACTGCGTGCTTGTGGAGTTAATACTCTTTCCACTCTACTTGGTTGTATCCGAACGATGAGAAAGGAGCTGGCACCATTTGCTCCCAGTGGCGTGACCCGAACGATTTTGTAGTGAAAAGAGTCAAAAGAGTTGCCAAGCCGAACTCACCTTAAATGCGTTTTGCACTCGAACGCTTGAAACCGAACGGGTCAAACTATAGCCGGAGTAGCTCGGGAGCGCTCAAAGGGTGATACCCGAAAGCAGCTAACGTTGCGTTCGGTATTTTGTTCAAAGAGCAGAGCGACGAGTGATGAAGCGGAGAAGTAATTACGTGACCAGGGAGCGCACAGAGCAATTAAATAAAACGCTGTATCACAAGACCTTTTTATTTTAATAAACCAACGTGAATAAGCCTGCATCGAGCATACTTTTTTGATAAACGAACGGTAAATTCAAGCTCGGAGAACTCGGATCATAATACCGAACGCACGGTGGCCAATATCAACATAAGTGTCAAATAGTCCTGTCATTAATCATTCACCAAAATAAATATAAATAAATATCTTTTCAAGAGTTTCAAAACATTTGTTTACCGCATATCTCCAATCTCGCAAATTATGGCTTCAGAAGACCAACAATCGACCCAAACCCTTCACACAGTTTTCCACGAAGGTTTGAACCTGTACAATTACGTATTGACCACTCAAGAAGCCACAAACGGTCCAGAAGTGCAAAGGGCCATCCAGAAAGCTATAGAACTTCTGGAACATGCCACCCGTTTAGTATCATTGGCTGATATTTTTAGTAAAAACGAGACGATAGACGAACTAGCTACTAATCATATTCAATATTTATTGCTCCCAGCACTTTTAGGTGTTTTAACAGGTAAACGAACATCTCGAGACAGGAAAGAGCTTATCGATGTTGCTGAGATTTATTTCAAAGATTTCTTACAAAGAACAAACAATTACCAGTTGAGTAACTATGAATTCAATGAAAGCAGCGAACCTGTAGCTAGTTCCATGGGATCAGAGTTGAGTCAAATAAGTAACAGCATTAGTGTAAGAGCAGGTAAAATACAAAAACTAAGAGAGCACGAAAAGTTAAAAGAAGATTTAAAAAACCTCAAAAAAAATGTTGAAAATGAGCACGCAGATGAAGATATTAAAAGAAATTATTTTTTAACAATGGTTAAAGTTTTTATACATGACACCATAATGGAACTGGAAAGCATCAAAATGGAAAGACCCATTTTGGAACATGCAGCTACAGTACAACCCAACAAAAACAAGACAAAATTCAAAAGAGAACCTCTAAAACCCATTATAATTACAAAAGATGCAGTTCAAAAAGCCATTTATGGTGCCGGATATCCCAGCTTACCTATTCTGACTATTGAAGAGTTTTATGAAAAACGAGTTGCTGACGGTATTTTTCCTGGCCCCAATACTCAGAAACCAGTAAGTTTACAAGAAACCAATCCAGAAGGTGTTTTGAAAAACGACCCAGAAGAACAAGAAGCGGAAGATCTTGAGAATAAAGTGGAAGAGGATGATGAAGAAAATCTGGCAAGAATGAGGGCCAAAGATGAGTTTAAGGATGAGCATAGAAGAGGATGGGGCAATAGAATGAACAGAAGTTAATTTTGTTTTTTGTGAATTAATTTAAAATAAATTCCAATAATGCAGGATATTAATTTATGAGTATTTTAATATAGAATTAAATGAATATTGTTTGCACTACTTGCACTGGATTTTTTTTAATCAAGACAACCTCCTGTTCAAATATCCTTGCACCAATAATTGTTATCTTTGTTGCTCTCATACAATTCCTAATGTAAGACAAAGATGGCAATATTGCGTTGTTGACGATTCGTGGGCAACGTCATCACTGGTGGGGGGTTGCCATGTGTCTTGAATCTTCCACGTCGAAGTCGATTTTCCAAAAAGTTGTCAAATAAAAAGTTTAGCTGCTCAAAAATTCTTTCCTCTTTCGGTTTGTTTGTGCCTTTTTAGGGTCGTCTCGCTAGTAAAAATTATTAAGTGAAAAATGAAGTACTTTTTCCTATTTTCCCTCCTGGTACTGCCGGCAGTAATTTTCATGGTGGATAATGGTAAGTTTTCCAAGAATTTCCATCACTTTTTGAAATTTTCGATGGAGAACAGGCAGCTGGTACTCTAATTTTACTATTCGAGCTGAACTAATTTAATTTTGATACCAAATTTGCATAATAAATCATATTTTCCGAAGCATATGTTGAGGTTATCCAATGTACCCTTTTTCTACCCTTTTCCAAAGATACAAAGTCCATTGTAGATTTTAATGAGGTTTTACAGGTAATTTAAGTAGCAACTGGAAGCTGTTTTATGTGATAATTTCTTATTAACAGTTATTTGACCTATTTTTGTATGTTCACTTTGTACTCAGTTTTTGAAGTTACCTAGGTATAGTTAAATTGAACAATTTGAGGCCTTTCTTATTGAACTTTTCCATGTACTACAATGACCAAAATAATTTTTGATCTCTGTAATTGATGCCTGTGGATAATTCTAGTGATTATATTCTTGGTCACTGGTCAATTAACTTGGTATGAAAGCAAGAATTTTCTGGACCAAAATTGGTAAATTTTGTTGTTCTTTACCACTGTATATTTGAAGTTTTGAACTCATATCAGTTCAAAGGTTTGTTCAATAATCACAGCTCAATTCTGGATGTTTCTTTTCTTATTTCTGAGATCAATTCAAGTTTGGATCTGAATCATCTTTATTCTGATTCATCTTGTCTTCTCTACACCCTGTAATTAGTGCATTGCATTATTTTTTAGAAAATCTAAGTAGAGCCCAAGGGGTAAACTGCTGATCTAGTTTTTGTATGCCACAAGTCACAATACCTAATTCTCAAACAATGCCTAACAATTCCCTAGCAATACCTCAAATCAAATCAAAATATGCTTTATTGTCTAAGTAGATAAACTCTTATTGACAAAGCTGAATACTATAAATAGATATTAATATAAAAACAATATACAATAAATTAATAAAATTCACATACAATCAATAATAATAATAATACTAGTAATACTAACAACAATCCAGGACTCAGAACATGAATTAAAAAAAATTTCAAATATCGAACACATATTTTTTTTTTTTTGAATGGAACAAAAAGAAAAAAAAAAAAAAAAAACCACCACACAGAAGTCGCAAAATTATCTAATTAACTGTGGAGAGCAGGGCAGGTTGAAATAAAAATAAAAACTAAAAACTAAAAAATAAAAAACTGAAAACTCAGGACAAAAACTTATTATTTAAAAGTCATCACAGTAAAATTCATGGAGACTATAATATGGCCTCGACATGAGAAATTGTTTTACACTTTTCTTGAAAAATTTATCATCCATCATCATTCTGTATACCAAAGGAATGTGGTTATACATTTTTATACTTTCAAATATAATTGAATTTTTGGTAAGTGTCGTCTTAGGAATAGGCAATGAAAGACCATTGCTACGAGTATTGTAAGGATTTGTTGAGGAGCAGTATTTGTGTTTTTTGTGTATCAGACACACTGTCTCCAAGATAAAGATACCTATTACTGTCAAAATCCTTCCATCAACAAATAATGGCTTGCAATGCTCTCTTGCTCTTACCTTAAATAGATAACGCACAGCCCGTTTTTGCAAAACAAGAATTGAGTTCATCAGCTGCTGGGTGCAGAACCCCCAAAACGCTATTCCGTACCTCAAATGAGATTCGATCAGTGAGTAGTAAACAGTTCGAGCCATGGGTAAACCCAATTCCCTGGAAACTATCTTCACTGCAAAACATCCTGCCGCCAGTTTCTTATTCAAAGATTGTACGTGTTCATTAAAATTCAGTTTATCATCAATAAACATGCCTAAAAACCTGGCAACAGGTCTGTTTTCTATAAAACTATTTTCAAAATTTAAATTGTCGCAAACAAATTTAAAACTTAGGATGCTAGTCTTTGATATATTGAAACATAAAGAATTTGCCCTACACCACACATTTACCCTACCCAAATCGTTTTCGATAACCACCCTTAAATCATCAGCCTCTCCTCCATGCCACAAGATTGTTGCATCATCTGCGAATAGTGTGAATTTACCCTGAATGAGGATTTTCGACAAGTCATTGATGTATACAAGGAAAAGGAGTGGTCCGAGGACGGAACCCTGTGGGACGCCAGATTTCAAACTTGACACGTTGGAGCACTGACTCCCCACCTTTACCATTTGCTCTCTATCAGAAAGATATGTTGCCAACCATTCCAAGGCCACCCCCCTTACCCCACATCGTTCTAGCTTACTCAAAAGCACTGCATGATTTACACAGTCAAAGGCTTTGGATAAGTCGCAGAATACAGCCGCTGCGACATCACCATTATTAAGCCTGGTATAAAGGTCTTCCAAGAAGGAAAAAATTGCGTCGTTCGTTCCCTTTGAAGCTTGGAATCCAAATTGACAGTCAGATAGAATTTTGTTGCGTTCAAAATATTCTGTCAATCTTTTCTTAACCAGTTTTTCAATTATTTTGGACAGAGTCGGCAATAGAGATATGGGGCGAAAGTTAGATGGTATATCTGGGTCTCCACCTTTATAGAGAGGTAAGACAATCGCAGTTTTAAGACAGGATGGAAATATACCACTGTTAAACGAATCGTTTATTACACTTACCAAAACCCTCATGGCATTATCAGGTAAGTTTTCAAAAATTCTGGGTGAAATATCATCAAGTCCAGATGAGTTTTTATTCCTTATTAGCGTAACAATACTTTTAACTTCAGTGACATCAGTCTCAAACAAAACAAAAGAGTTCAGCACAGGGTCGGCATTAAAAAGACTTAGAGGATCAACGGGTATTTTTACCTTCCCAGCCAAGTCATTTGCCACTGAACAGTAAAAGTGATTTAAGACGTTGAGATCCATGTTTAATTGAGTTTGTATTTTACCATTCTTCCCTCTCAAATTATTGACAATATTCCAACTTTCCCTTGCTTTGTTTTTTGAGCTACTTATTTGATGTTTATAATGGATTTCTTTTGCCAGTTTTATAGTCTGTCTATATATACGTCTATAATTATTAAAAAAGATAAGAAAATTGTGATTGTCAGTAAATTTCCTTATAGTATGTAGCGATTTAAGATTTTTTGCAGAATTTTTTATGCCCTGCGTTATCCATGGCTTTCTACATTTATGTTTAATTGGCCTTACAGGAAAATTTTTATTAAAACTATCAACTAATACAGAGTAATAAGCATATACAGGATTCTCACAATCCAGAACGCTTTCCCAATTGGTTTGCCTAGAATGCTCCCTAAAGCTATTAAAATTTCTTGTACTATATATTCTACCAAGCCTATTCTCTCTTTTCTCAATTTTAAACCTGACAGGAAATTTCATTTGTACTGCTTCATGGTCAGATAATGGGGCAGGAATAACAAAACAATCAGAAGCATCGCAGTCAAAATTTGTACAGACATAATCTATCACAGAAGCGCTGAACCTAGAAACACGCGTGGGCTCTTTAACTAACATATTTAAATTAAAAGAACTCAAAAGGTTATTTAGTTCTTGGGTCTCCCAATTTTTGTTTAAGAAATTTATATTAAAGTCGCCGGCCAAAACAATTTTGCTATTCACTGAAAAATTTTCCAATAGAATTTCTAAACCATTCAAAAACTCTCTTACACTGCCACTTGGTGGCCTATAAACACAAATTAAATAAAGTTTAAATTTCCTATTGCACGCAATACAGAACTCAAATTGACCCTCAATAACCAGATCATTATACTCTACAAGGTTATCTGCAGTAAAATTATTAAAAAAAGTTTCATTTATTAAAATCATTGTGCCACCATATCCAGTAACACTTCGTCGGCAGAATTTAGAAAGCACAAGGTAATCCGGAATATAAAGTGGTTCATCACACCTCAGCCAGTGCTCAGTTAAAAATATGAAATTAGGCCTACCCTGGTTCTCCACAAATATCACAAACTCGTCAATTTTATTCCGAATAGATTGAATGTTAAGTAACAATAAAGAGGCCTCACCACTAAACTCGAATGCCTTATCTAAAGATAACCTGTCATGTTTGTCAATAGTTACTCTACTCATGTTTGCATCAATTTGCCTAGGCTCGTTTCTAAAAAATTTTTTTTACAATTTTTACAATAATTCTCAGTGCACTTTAGAACCTCAACCCCAACTGGCTCCACATTCACGCCAACCTGATCACAAGTTAAATTAAAATTTGATTTTTGATTTATTATCAATTTTTGCAAACTCTCCGCAACTTTAACCATGCCTCTATATTTAATATGTAAACCCCCCTTCAACACAAAATGATGCGAGTTCAAAAGAGAATTAAAGTGAAAAAATGTACCTACGTTTTTTTCTTTGAATACATTATAATACATCATTTTATTGTGTTCATTGATGTACCTATTTAAAAGCCTATCCTCGTTCCACAGGGGCACTGAGAAGAGGATTAAATTTGTGTGTTTCCTGACATTTTTAAGATTTTGTAAAGTTTGCTCTTGTACCCTTAAACCCCTCAATACATTCATTGTGCCACCTATAATGATTAAATAATCGTTCTTTGTATAATTCTTTGCCAGCTCTGTCATATTCTCTATTACATCGTCTATAACAGCATAATTCTTAATCACAGAACAAACATTAAAATTTTCACTTACATAACGGTCCAAAACAGCTCTAAATTCTTGTCCAAGATTATCACTCAAAATAAGAATATTGTTTTTTTTTGTGGCTGTTTTACCCCTATTGTTCTTCCTTTTCTGCTCTTTCATACCTTCACTCATAGCACAGTGCTTAACTTCTTGAATCTCTTTCTGGTATGTTTGATTATCCTCTTCCAATACTCTTATAGTTGCAATCATCTCTCTATTTGTTTCCATCAGTTCCTGCAGTCTCTCTCTGAATCCATTACATTCCGCTGAACAAGATGTTATCTGACCTTCCAACTTCCTGTTCTCCTCCTTCAGACAATCTATTCCCCTTTCCAATTCTTGAATATTTGCCTCCATATGTTCTTTTGTCTCCTGCCATTCTTTTTCCTTCACCGACTGATC